AATGGGATAGGGGAAACGGTGGACGGGAGGCCTAGGATGGAGACTAAATGAGGCCCTTCTCTTGGACGAGGATATAGCTCAGAAGATTGGGGAAGAGATTAAGGTATATTTTAAGGAGAATGAGACAGGGGAAGTATCGACAGCTACAGTACGGGAAAGTCACAAAGTATATATAAGAGGAATCCTGATCGCGATGGGAGCAAGGAAGAAAAGAGAAAGAAGAGAGAGAGTCAGTGGGCTCCTAAAAGAAATTATGGACTTGGAGCAGATACAAAAAAGAAGAAAATAACAAGAGAAACAAAACAGAAGTTATTGGATAAAAAAGATGAGCTAGAGAGATTGATGGAAGAGGAGAGGAGAAGAGTATATAATAAGGTATTAAGTGAAAGATATAGATGGGGAGATAGACCAGGAAAATACTTAATGAGAGCTCTGAATAAAAAGAAAAATAGAAATTATATAGAAAAGATAAAAAAAAATCCTAAGGGGGAGTTGGTTTATTCAACTAAAGAGATTATTAAAGTGTTTATGGAGTACTATAGAAAGTTGTATAATATTAGCCCCCAAAGCTCATCAAAAGAAAATGGAGAGGATATCAAATAAAAAAGGAAGACCTATTTAAAAAACGCAGGATTGCCAAAGTTAAGTGAAGTACAACTGAACTCCCTAGATGCGGAAATTTCCCAGGATGAAATAAAAGCAGCAATAAGAAGTACGGGGGGTGGAAAAAAGTCCAGGACCAGATGGGTACACAGTTAATTACTATAAAAAAATATAGTGAAATATTGTTACCTAAGCTAAAGAAGTATATGAACGATTTGGGAGGAGGGATGGAGAGTAGAAGAGAATCTCTTCAGGCCCATGTAGTACTCATTCATAAGGAAGGAAAAGACCCCTCTCAGTGCTCTAGTTATAGACCAATCTCATTATTGAACATCGATACTAAGCTGTACGCAAAGGTTCTAGCAAATAGGCTGAAAGATCTAATGCCATAATGGATCCATGGAGACCAGGTGGGCTTTGTCCCAGGGAGAGAGGGTAGGGACAACGGGTTGAAAACTCTGATGCTAATCCAAAAAAGTAGAAAAGGGAAAGCCCCGGTGGTGCTGTTGTCGATTGATGCCGAAAAGGCGTTCGATAGAGTGGACTGGGGCTTCATGATGGACAACTTAGAAGTGTTGGGGGATTGGAGAGAGAATGCGTGAGTGGATAGGTAAATTTATACAGGGAGCCCACCGCAATTATTACGGTAAATGGAGAGAGATCGGAATCCATAGCGATGTCCAATGGAACAAGACAGGGCTGTCCTCTGTCCCCCCTGCTATATGTTTTGTCATTGGAACCTCTGTTGTCAATGATAAGGAATAGTGGTGCGGTAAAGGGAACCCAGATCAAAAATATAGAAACAAAAAGTAGCGGCCTATGCGGATGACCTATTGTTCTATGTAGGCAACCCCCGAATAACATTACCAAATATAATGAAGTTTTTGAAGGAGTATGGGGAACTATCAAATTTAAAAATCAATCCAACAAAAACAGAGATCCTGAACATCAATATATTAAAGAGTGAAAATGAAAAGTTACAAAAAGAATTCCCCTTTATATGGAGAGAAAAAGATCTAAAATACCTAGGAATAAAACTCGCTATCTCTTATAAACAACTGTATAGATTAAACTATATTTCCTTGATAAATGAGAATAAGGAAGAATTGAAAATATTAGGAGGAAACCCATCATGGATAGGACGTATAAACCTAGTTAAAATGGTAATCAAACCTAAAATACTGTATAGATTTCAAATGGTTCCGATCAAACTCCCAGAGGCTTTTTTTAAGATAATAAAAAAAATGTTAAGATATATTTGGAGGAATAAAAAACCAAGAATATCATACGAAATACTGAGTAGGACTAAAGAAAAAGGGGGAATGGGACTACCCGACGTCAAGAGATACTATAAAGCAGTAATTTTGGCAAGAATTTATGATTGGACATTTAACCAGAAGGGGAAGAAGAGTTGGGTTAAAATTGAAAATGAACTGAGTGGGATTAGTTTGAGTAAGATGATATGGATTCCAGCACATTTTAGAAAAATTAATGAAAACACAAGTATTTACACTTTAAATGTTTTAAGGGTATGGGATAATTTACACAAAAATATGAAATGGGAATTCAACTCTATATTAATGCCTCTTGCAAATACTGACTATTTCCCCCCAGGAAAGGACGAAATATGAGGGAGATGGTTTGAGAGGGAAGATGTCCAACTGAGAGATGTACTGGTAGAGGGCGAATTGAGATCATTTAAAGAATTAAAAGAGAAGAAGGGAGACATTTTTATTAGAATAGATGAGTGGAAATATCATCAACTAAAATGTTTTATTGGGAAACTACCAAAACCCTTGAGATCAAAAAAGGAGTGGAATATGTTTGAAAGGTTGTTAGAAACACGTAGAGATGGGAAACATGGTATTGCCAAAATGTATAGAATACTCACAGAATTAGACACAGACACAAAGTTAACTTTTATAACGAAGTGGGAAAGAGATATGGAGGTGGTGTTAGATGAGGACCAACAGAAAAAGATATTTAGATTGATACACAAGAACGTTAGTATGAGAGAAGTGGAGATTAATTATAAATGTTTGACACGATGGCACATTACACCGAGTATTGAGCACAAGATGAGTGGGGAGAAAAAATGTGTTGGAGAGGATGTGGAGAGATAGGCACGGTGTTTCACATGTGGTGGCAATGTCCGAAAATTCAGGCCTTTTGGAAAACAATAGTTAAATTGATAGAAATAATAACTGGAAATGACATAGGGTTAGACCCAATGATGTGTCTCCTACATAACGTTGAGATAACAGTAAATAAATATAAAGAATCAGGCGTATGGTATTATTTAAACGCTGCAAAAGGGTTGATACCCAAATTCTGGCAGAAAACAGAGGTGCCGAAGGAGGAAGACTGGATCAACAGAGTAAATCAGATCAGTAGAATGGAAAAATCTTACTATATTCAGGAAGATAGGCTGGGAACATACTATTTGAGATGGGAAAAAATGGGAAAAATCAGAAGTTAAAGAGAAATATAGAAAATCTTAAATTAGGAAGTTAGTTAAAGTGATTGGGCCTCGTGAGATTGGAGAACTTGCAGAGGGGAGGGAGGGTGAGGGGAATGGGGGGGGGGGAGGGGAGGGAAAGAAAAGAGTTATTAGAAGGGGTAAAGTAGAAATGTTAAGACTACTTAAATGTATTGTGTCTCTTTTTATGGAATTTTTTGTAATAATATGAAAAACTAATAAATATTTAAATTAAAAAAAATTAGATTATCGTACGATCGCTCCGAAAGTGGTATTTTCGTACAATTTTCTGATCATGTGTACAACGCTTAAGAGACCTACAAGTGATCGATAGAGATAAAAGAATCTGCTTAGGTTGGATCTGCAAACACACATTTTGCTTGAAGATCTCAAAATTTGCAATGAACCCTATACATGTTTATAGAGTGGGGAGGAGGGTGAATTTTGTTATTCAATTCTGGAAGTTGGGTACTGCAATGTGAGACCAGTGCTAAAAAAAAAAAAAAACAAAACACAATAAAACTGGTCTCTCTCCCAATTCAGATTTTTCAGTTCTCCATAACAATTTCAACACACACACTGACAAAATGGCTGCTGTGAGCCCACCCTTTAATAGAAAAGAGCCTGGGTTATTCATCCCTTTAAATGATTGGATCTTGTGATTCAGCTGATCAGGGCTGTGCACTGTTATAGGTTGTTTCCCATTTCTTTTTTTTTTTTTTGTTCCAAAAAGTCTTTATTGAAGTAAAAGGCATATCAGGTCATAAACAGAAACGGAACACAGTCCGCGTACATACAACTGGCTTAGTCTCCCGTGATGCAGACGGGTAATCAGATATGCATTTGAAATGTACATTGAACAGAAACAAAATAACACGATACCAGGTGCACGTTATACACCAAAAAAAGTATTGAATATAGATGGTAATCGAGATATGTATGAAGGATGTAAATCTAAGGGGTAGAAATCGCTCAGATAATAGGGCAGGAGAGCAAAAGACAGCAATATCATCTAAAGCGCGCACATCGTGTGATTCCGTTTCCGGGGAAGGTAAGTTTCTTCTTATAGATATAGTTAGTTGTGTAAGAGAAAGATGTGAGACAAAAGAAGAGAAAAAGAGAGAAGAGTGCATCAGATGGAGAAAGATAGAGAAGGCATTGTCCTAAGAGGGGAGGGAGGGAAAGAAAAAAAAAAAAAAGGGGGGGGGATGGGGAAGGGTGGGTCAAGTATTAGGTAATGGCTGTTAAACCAATCATATTGTATAATAGTAGTCAAGCTAACGTATATTATCTCTTTGATTTCACATATATTCCGATTGGTCTCAACCCATTTCTGTGGTGAACCTGAGAATTTTCAAGCCAAAAAGATTGTGATTCATAGATATAGGGAATCCTGGGGATTTATTGCAAGTCTATGAACCCAAAGCTCATCCCTGGAGATAGAGAAGGAACACATTGGTTTACTAATTAGTGGGATTAGAACAAGTAAAGATCCTATATGACAAAAAAGTTGCTATTCCAGAAATGAGCCCTTTAAAAGTGAAAGTTACTTCATACCAAGTGTTTTATGTTAGTGGATGAATCATTATCCAGCCAGAGTTTTCCTGGTCCTCATTTTCCCTTTCACAATGTATCTATTTTTTTTTCATCCTACATCTAGCTTTATTACAGTGCCCATCACATTCTCTTTACAATATATTAATAATATACTTCTATTAATATACTGTAAAGTTTGATGTATGAAAATAACACTTCATTCGTATGAAAAATCATTTTTAGCTATATTGTTAAAGTCTTAAAGTAGACAAGTATGTACGTATGTAAGCAAGTTTATATGTAAATGAGGTACAGTACAGAACAATGGGAGGTTTACTAAAACTCAAGCGCTTAGAATCTTGTGCAGCTGTGCAAGATAGCCGGCAGGGGAGGATTGACCATTTAGAAACTCGGGCACTGCCCGAGAGCCGGGGGTCAGTAGGGGGCCCCATGAGATGCCCCTGGTACCTTTTTCAAAGGCTTTTTTGAGTTTGGGCAAGGACACAGGGGCCCCATGATCCCCTATTGCCGGGGGCCCCATGAGTTGTCAGTCCGCCCCTGGTAGCCGATCAGCATCACGCTTCAGCTTGTTCAATTAAGATTTGACAATAAAACCTAGACCTTGATAGGTTTTTATGCAGAGCTGCACCAAATTTAGCATTCTCCAGTTTTAGTAAATCCTCCCCAATGTTTATGTGAACAACTTGAGATATATAAGGTACTGGTACATTTTGGATTTCTGCATAAAGTAAATGATGAGTTAGAGTAAAAAAGTTGATTTTTATTTTTTTGATCATCATAGCAAGAAACTAATAGAAAAAGAAAGTAACAAGCAGATAAACACCTGTTCCAACAGAGTGAAAGTAAATATGTTTGGTAACTATTGTAATATTAGTATATTATCATAAAATTGCACATGTCTAGATGCCATACATTGCATAGTGTAAAGTAACTGAAGTATACGGATAATATTAGATAGTTAAGCTTCTAGGCTATAGAAGCCAACCAACGCCATCTCTTCCAGAACACCTGATATCCATCATTTGTTGTTGCAAAAAGATGTTCTAATTGAGTTTGCTCATTAACCACTTGCCCTCAAGAGGATTTACCCTTCTTCTTGTCCGGGCCATTTTTTATGATACTTTAACTGACAGTTGTGCAGTCATGCAATGCTGTACATTAATTACATTTATGTCTTTTTTTCCCCTACAAATAGAGCTTTCTTTTGGTGGTATTTGATCACCTCTGCATTTTTTATTTTTTTGCGCTATAAACAAAAGACCAACAATTTTGAAAAAAAAGCAATATATTATACTTTTTGCTATAAAACGTCCAATAAAAACCTTTAAAAAAATCTAATTTCATCATAAATTTATGCCAAAATGTATTCTGCTACATGTCTTTGCTACAAAAAAAAAAAAATCCCAATATGTATAAATTAATTGGTTTACATGAAAGTTATAGTGTCTACAAATGGCAGTATATATACTGGAATTTTAATTTTTTTAATACTAGTATTGGCGGGGATCAGCGACTTATAGTGGGACTGTGGGACTGCGGTGGACATTCTGACACTGGGTGGGAACTGTCACTGACATCCCCAGTGACACTAATAAAGTGATCAGTGCTAATAAAACGCACTGAAACTGTACTAATGACACTGAGCAGGAAGTGGTTAACATCTGCGGCGATCAAAGGGTTAACTGTGTGCTGTTTTACATTATGTGCTGTGTGTGTTTTACTAGGAAGGCAAGCTGTGCAGAGAAATACACAGAAGCATGTTCTTGCTGGCAGGAGAGAGAACTGTGTCGTTTACACACAGGTCTCTACCCTCCCAGCGCTTCTCGGTGATCGCTGGGTTCCGGCAGCGAGTCTCCATCCAGGACCAGGTTGCTGACATCCACAGCCATCAATGGTGGCGCAGGTAGAGTGGCGCGCATGCGCTCCCTGCCCAGAAATGCAAATCACATATATATACGTGATTTTGTGCAGCCCTGTAGCAGTATTTCTGCTATAGGGCGGCGGGCAATTGGTTAAGGACAAGGACATTTTCTTGCTTTGATGATTTTGCTATGATGAGTCTTGCAGTGATTAATGTAAGAGATATGAATGGTCTACATGTGTACAGAGCAGAGACTGATTAGGACCTGGGGCAGTATCAATAGCTGTGACTGATGAGATAAGGGCAAAGACAACTTTCCAGTAGGGAGATATTTTTGTTCAAGTACATCAAATGTAGTATAAAGGGCCCAGTCTACCACATTTGCTCCAAGATAATGAGAAGTAGTTGGAATACATTCAAGAAAGCTTTTGAGGCATGTAGTACAACCTATGTAGTATCTTAATGAAGGATTTTCAGTGATAGAAGCACCTGGAAGTTTTTGGTGGTCAGTAATAGGCATCTCACCACAGCTGAATTGAAAACTCTTTGGAGAGTTATTTTTTTCAGGTATTTTTGTATACAATAATGTTTTTCTGTCTGAGAACATTGCATGCACAGTTGGTAGTAGAAGGCAATTACTTTAGTAGATTTCACAAAAGTGAAAAACAAATGATGCAGGCAGGGACGGACTGACCATTTGGAAACTCGGGCACTGCCCGAGGACCCGGGGTCAGTAGGGGGCCCCATGAGATGCCCCTGGTACCTTTTTCATAGGCTTTTTTGAGTTTGGGCAAGGACACAGGGGCCCCATGATCTCCTATTACCCGGGGGCCCCATGAGTTGTCAGTCCGCCCCTGGATGCAGGTATTAATAGTTCTTTCTGAGGTTTGGGGGATAGATAGCTTCTGATTTTTAAATATTTATAAATTATTAGTATAAATTAAATAGTATTCTGGTTGTTCTGCAAAATAGACCTGAAGATAATAATTTTGTGTCAGGTTGTGTGACTGTTAAAAAGGAGCCTGTATTGCCACATTCTTCTCTGCTGATTACACAAGACAAACTTAGTTTTTATGAGTATCAATGTATTTTCACAGTAAGCATCAATAATAATTAATTACAGCAGCAGAAGTCAGTGTTACAAATGTTCAAGATCCTGAAAACTCTGCAGTGGATGTAGTAAAATTTGTGCATATACAGCTGTGTCTGTTAGTCAATCTCACACCACATAAAACTTGTTGGTGAATTTGCAAATGCCAAACATTAACATTACACATAATAATATGTGAACTTCCTCTAGTGCAGGCATCACATCAGAGCAGGTGAAATGGTGTGTTATTGGATTACAGTATAGACGCTTATTTTTAATGTTTGACATGGCTATATCAGCAAAAAGGACCAGCCTGAAGCAATCTAGCAGGAATTCATTTTCTGACTAGTTCCACTTTAACAATGGCATAAGTTGTTAAACACATCTCTAAACATTTGACATTTTTTTCATTAGACATAGTTATAATTGTTAAAATATCAATTATAACTTTTCTCAAATACTTTTCTATTGGGTTTTGCAATTTAACCGCTTCCTGTCCACCCTATAGCAGAAATACTGCTACAGGGCAGCACGGGTGCGCAAAATCACATACAGTATATATACATGATTTTTTTTTTCCGGGTAGGGGGCGCACGCGAGCCGCGCACGCGCCCCAACCTGTGCTACCGTTCACAGCTGCGGCTGTCAATCACCGAGTCCTGTCTGGTAATTACTTGCCGAGGCCCAGTGATTTCCAAAGATCTCTGATGGGGAGGAGGACTGTTTTGTTTACTAACAGCCCTCCTCCCTGTCAGTTCGGGCACACTGCTCTGGATATCAGTGCACAGCAGAGCCATCCAGAGCAGTGTGATAACAGTGAAGCACACTGACACGGCCCCCTAGTAAAACACTCCCAGAACACAGTTAACCCTTTGATCACCCCTCATGTTAACCCCTTCCTGCCCCAGTGCCATTAGTACAGTGTTAGTGGGTTTTTTTTTTAGCACTGATCACTGTATTGCTGTCACTGGGGATGTCAGTAACTCAAAGTCAGCTCCCCCCAGTGTCAGAATGTTCACTGCAGTCCTGCTATAAGTCACTGATCGCCACCCTTACTAGTAAAAAAAATTTCCAGTACATATACCCCCATTTATAAACGCTATAACTTTCACGCAAACCATATAATTTACACGTATTGGGATTTTTTTTTTTAGCAAAGACATGTAGCAGAATACATTTTGGTGTAAATTTATGAAGAAAGTAGATTTTTTAAAAAAAAATTTCTGGACATGTTTAAAAAAGTAAAAAATATTGTTTTTATTCTCAAATTTGTCAGTTTTTTTATAGCACAAAAAATAAAAACTGCACGGGTGATCAAATATCACCAAAAGAAAGCTCAATTAGTGGGAAAAAAGGATGTGAATTTATTTTGGGTACAGCATTGCATGACCATGCAATTTTCAGTTAAAGTAACGCAGCGCCGTAACGCAAAAAATGGCCTGGTCAGGATTTACCCCAATCCTCAGGAGGGCAAGTAGTTAAATAAATACAAAATACAAATAATACAAATAGCTGAGATACAGTGTTATCAAGTGTGAATTCTGAGTTTGAAAAGGTAGTGAACAATATACTTTTTCAAATAACAGTTTTCTATTCTGGATATAATTCAACATTTACAACCATCTTCTGAGGTCACACTAGAAGTCTGCAAGATCTATAACGGTTTCCTACTTACTAAAACAACTTGTTAGATCCTAACCATCACAAGGTTTGCAAACACTGAGACTTGGGGATAATCTGTATCTGTTTCAGCACATAGTATACGCATTTTATACTTTCACCAAGACAATTGTTTTGCTTATTGTTAGAATAACTGAAGGACAAGTGACAGAGGTGTAGATAGCCATGGGTCCCACAGTTTGTTAAATTTCCTTAGGTAATATAGTACGAGGAGCATTCAAATCAAACTGGAACTTTTGAGTTTATATAATAAAAGAACAAATTGCAAGGAGTGGAAACTGCATTTATTTTTCGACACACTCCCCTGCTACATTTATACACTTATCCCAGTGTTTAACATTTGCAAATACATGCGTAAGTTACAGAGCCTCATCACGGCACCCTGATATTCTGTAGTTCCTAACTCTACAAATTTTGAGAGCCCCCATAGTAGAGGCACATGTATTTAATGGACATACCAAGGGCAGGTGGACATGAGGGAGCTCACCCCTCCTTAAAGGTATAGGAGTGCACTAGACACCCAGCATGTAGCACAATGGCACATAAGGTGTCCAGTGCGCCCCCTCGCTAACAATTCATTAGTACAAAAAACGGCTGCCGCCCCAGTCTATAACTGGCCTTCACAGCAAGGAGCATATGGAAGGGTAATGCATGTCAAACAACAAAAGAGAAAAATTACCAGGTTAACTTGCCAACCAGCCTGCAAACAAACCAAATTAACCTAACAGTATGCGTTAAAAACAGGGGTTTAGTTAGATCACATTTGCAAATACATGCATAAGCTACAGAGCTTTGTCACAGCACCCAGATATTCTGTAGTTCCTGACTCTACAAATTTTGAGATCCCCCATAGTAGGGGCACATGTATTTAATGGATAAACCAAGGGCAGGTGGACCTGAGGGAGCCCACCCCTCTTTAAAGGTATAGTAGCGCACTGGACACCCAGCATGTAGCACAATGGCAGATAAGATGTCCAGTGCACCCCCTCACCAACAATCCAACAGTACAAAAAATGGCCACTACCCCAGTCTATAACTGGCCTTCACAGCAAGGAGCACATGGAAGGGTGACGTATGTCAAACAACAAAAGAGAAAAATTCCCAGTTCACTTTGTTTGTTAGGAGCACACTGGACACCCAGTCATGTAGCACAATGGCAGATAAGGTGTCCAGTGCACCCCCTCACCAACATTTCAACAATACAAAAAATGGCCACTTTTCCAGTCTATAACTGGCCATCACAGCACGGAGCACATGGAAGGGTGACGTATGTCAAACAACAAAAGCGAAAAATTCCCAGCTCAGCTTTCCAACCAGCCTGCAAACAATCTGAATTAACTTGTCTAACAGTATGTGTTAAAAACAGGGGTTTAGTTAGCACACATTCACAAATACATGCGTAAGCTACAGAGCCTTGTCACGGCACCCCGATATGCTGTAGTTCCTAACTCTGCAAATTTTGAGAGCCTCCATAGTAGAGGCACATGTATTTAATGGATAGACCAAGGGCAGGTGGACCTGAGGAAGCCCACCCCTCCTTAAAGGTATAGGAGCACACTGGACACCCAGCATGTAGCACAATGGTACATAAGGTATCCAGTGCGCTCCCTCATCAACAATTCAACAGTACAAAAAATGGCTGCTGCCCCAGTCTATAACTGGCCTTCACAGCAAGTAACACATGGAAATGCGACGCATGTCAAACAACAAAAGAGAAAAATGCCCAGCTCAGCTTGACAACCAGCCTGCAAACAAATCTCCAGATTGCCTATTTACAGATTTGTGTACCTCAATTTTCATCATTCTGTAAAAAAATCATAATGTAAAATTTAGAAATATTTGTTATTTATTAACCACTTGCCCTCCGGAGGATTTACCCCCCTTCCTGACCAGGCAATTTATTGTGATATGGCGCTGCGTTACTTTGACTGACAATTGTGCTGTCATGCAATGCTGTACCCAAATGAAATTTATGTTTTTTGATCACCTGTGTGTTTTTTTTTTATTTTTTGAGCTATAAACCCAATAAAACCCAATAAGTGTAAATTATTTGGTTTACGTGAAAGTTGCAGTGTCAACAATTGTCTGTATATATACTGGAATTTTTTTTGCTTTGCCTTTTATACTAGTAATGGCGACGATCAGTGACTTATAGCAGGCATTCTGACACTGGGTGGGAGCTAACTGCCACTGACATCCCAATGACACTAATACAGTGATACAAAAAGCACTGACGCTGTACTAATGACACTGGACAGGAAGGGGTTAACTTCTGGGGTGATCAAAGGGTTAACTGTGTGCTGTGTGCTGTTTTACATAATGTGTTGTGTGTGTTTTACTGAAGACAGTTGCAGTAGAGGCCTGGCAGAGCATCACCAGGGATGAAACCCAGCGTAGGGTGATGTCTATGCATTCCAGACTTCAGGCTGTAATTGACTGCAAAGAATTTGCAACCAAGTATTAAAAAGTGAAAGTTTGATGTATGATTATTATTCTGTCCCATTACTTTTGGTCCCTTAACAAGTGGGAGGCACATATGCAAACTGTTGTAATTCCTACACCGTTCACCTGATTTGGATGTACAGTAAATACCCTGAAATTAAAGCTGACAGTCTGTAGTTAAAGCACATCTTGTTCGTTTCATTTCAAATCCATTGTGGTGGTGTATAGAGCCAAAAATGTTATAATTGTGTTGGTGTCCCAATATTTATTGACCTGACTGTATCTGTGCACACGACCCTCTATGGGTGTGTGCTTTAGTATTCCCCATGTGAAGGAGGCTTTTTGTAGGAATTTAACAGGAATTTTGGAAGTTGCTATATGTTGTGTTCCTGTGTGCTAATAATGATTTTATTTTTTTTTTTCATTTTGATAAACATAATCACCAGTATCACAGGGCTTAAAATATCAGTAGCATCTTCTATTTATTCTACTGGTTCTATGCTTTCATATAAGGTATGCTTGGGGGGGGGGGGGGCTTTTTAGAAACTCTAAAAATCTGCAGGCTATCATTTTTCACTTACAGTTTTCAGAGTAAGTTGCTTACTTACACTCTTGGTACCTTCGA